CTCAGCAACCGGGAAAGCTGGGAGGCTAAAACTTTGAATATACGTTCCTACCCCGTGTTTCATCCTCCCGTTTTAAGATCTTTCCCCATACGTGCCTAAACCCCGCGTACGGGACTCCGAAAGAAATAAGTTGGCGAGAAACGATTTCGCGAAAACTACAGGGATATTCTCTATGCACGTGCAAGATAAAAATTTTAAACTCAGCTCTCTAGCTCCCCAACCACAGCCTCAAGCAGCTCCTGAACCCAACCGTTAGCAACTCAGACTTGAACTGCAATTGTATATGCGAATGAACATGGATTTCTTGAAAAACGACCGCTCGAGCAATACTTTCAATCTTTCAATAAACTGAATGTTTGCATATTTACAAAAAATTCGTTTGCAGCTCGGACCTTAACCGCAATCGTATATGTAAATGTACGTGCAATTTTTTGTCACTTTTTTACAAGCGAGCATTTACCGAAAAGCGACCGGACTTCATGCAAAAAACCGGTAATCGTGCACCTGGATGTCCGTGCGGCCTCGTAATGCACCACCTTCATCCCAACTGATGCCTTTTTTCCTGCATGCCGGAAAGAATCAAAGCACGGCCAATATTAGTCCAAGTGTTAGGCTACAGCGTAGTGATCATTCCTGCTAATAGCGATCTGCAAGTTTAGTGCAAAAACGCATGACCGCACCGGAGAGCCTGGGGCGTTTCAGCCTGAATTAGTACCTGTCAGCGGCATTCATTCACTAGGTTCTTGGCATACGCATGTACTCATTTACTGTCGAAACAAAAGACAAGTCATAGGGGTTGTCCCATGAACTTCACCGATCCATGTAAACATACTGTTGTAAGCACTGAAATCGTGCCAATATAAGCTTTGCAAAATGCACGCTATTTTTCATTCATGGACGTTGCTTGTAGGACTGTGAAGACGGAAGTGACGAACCGGAGGGCCTGTGCGCAACCAACCAGTGTGCCTCAGATCATTTCCGATGTGACAATGGCCGCTGCATTTTTAATGTAAGCCAGTTTCACTCATATTTGCTTAATGTATCTATTCCCTGAATATGACCAGGAACACCTGATTTCAATGCGTTATTCGGCTGCGTCTCTGTGCGGGTAGTGAGAGTGCTGGTGGGAATAGCATTACTGGCGCATGTGCACGCTTAAGTCTCCGGCAAGCAGATCAAGTTACTGTAGGCACCTTCCTCTTTCAGAAACACTAAATTCAACTTGTTTGAATAAATATCGGTAAGAAAAACATTTATTTTGAATGCACTAAAGCGCAAAATTTAGGTATAATATGCTAAGATTTGCAAAAGTCTTAATTCTACAGAAACTCAGTCAAGACCGGTAAAACACCAGTTTTGGGTTTAAGAGATCAGTCTTGAATGCGTTGCTTTTCATCAAAGCAGCTGGCTATGGAATTATTTTTCAGAAGTGTTAGCATTATTTCATCACACTTAGATTAGTTGCATACTCAGTTTTATGTTTAATTTGGCTATGTTTCATAGTGTGTCTGTTGATCGGTATACTAGTTCCTATCAAATAAGCTACGGGAAAGTTCAGGACACTTTATATTCTTTTTGGCTAACATGACGCAGCACGAAGCATCGAAAAAAGATTCTGTTCACTAAACTAAGAAAGCGTGAAACCACAGTAGGACTGGTCGCTGAATCGACGCCCAAGCCCAAGCTGTTTCTATCTCAGTACCTAATTTTAAGGATTTGCCAATTACCCTCATTTTATGCCGTCTGTTCATCTTCCGCCATTACCTAGTCAGCAGTATCGAATGATGAGGCTTTCGCGTTTCTTTTATTACGCGCCATCCCAAAACACACTTTGATCAAAGCTCCAGCTACGCTCCCGTCCCTGCCCTGCCCACATCCTCTTTTGCACACAGCACTAATAGTGACATAAAAAAATACTCTCACATTTTCTCAAAAAACTAACAGTTTGCTATTTCTAATTCATGGATCACACTTTAGTAGCATCAGACAACATCACGCTCTTTCTAACTAACGTTCGCTAGTCTGGTAGTCCGAGGGTCACTGGGTAATAAGAAAATTTAAAATTGGTGACTATCTGGCTCGACAGATTTTTGAAAGGTTGCTGTAGCTATGAAAAATTCGAAAAAAATGACATGGCGCAAATTCGAAAATCCTTTTAATTTGGATGTGCAAAGTCTTTTCAGCGCATCTCCATTCTCTAAAACAAATTCGTCATTGGCTTTGTTTGCTGTGCCATGAAAAGAGCACTTTTGAGTGAATAAATTGTTGCAGACATGGTTTTGCGACGGGGAAAATGACTGCGGTGATAACAGTGATGAGAGTCCAGAACATGGATGCCAGCGCCATCGACAGCTAGCCGTTCGCTGCCCGTTCGAGCATGTAATCATTTGCTGCTTAGCAAGTATTTTGACCTAAGGATAAGCATGTTTTTGTCAGGGTGATTGAGATTTGCATTGACGAGAGTGCCTACAAAAACCTTGCATTGGCGAGGCTCGATGAAACTTAATTGGTGCTTCCCGGTGAGTGCTAAATACCAGCGCACTTTTTGAATGGCTGTGACTCGTCGTATAAACTAATTTGAAAACGAATTTTTAATCAGGAATAAGAAGCTAGAGAGCTGCAGTAACTGGCCTAGCATAGATGAACCACAACTAGCAATATTTACACAGCCGGTTCACGTGAATTCGATGGTATTGTTGTGTAGTTCACATGTTTGTAGTTATTATTCTTACACTAGTGTCGAACACGGAAGGGTTGATGGATAACAGTGAAACTGTGCGCAATTCCGTCTGAATGTGTTGCAGCTGAAACAAAAATTTCAAAGAGTCGAAATCACTGAGGACTCGAAATTCAGCTGAAGCGAAAATTTCAAGGACATGAAACTTAGCTAAAGACAGAGCAGTTGGCAGCATAAGGCGCTAAAAGAACTTGAAAACAACATCTATAATGAAAAAGAATGTGAAGATAAGCACTGCTAGTTGGACGATTAATCCATAAAACGGTGAAAAATTGAGGGAGTTGTGTTCACTGTTTCTGAATTCGTCATTGCACTTCATTCTCGCGAACAGATAGCCTAGCTTTTTTTAGCTTACGACAACCCGATCCTTCTATACTTTTCCTTGAGGTTATTGCAATTCGCTGTCTTTTTTCATATATCCATAACCATTTCTAGACACCGTGTCCTGGAACTCCGGATGTCTGTATACCACTTCATAATTTATGTGATGGCAAAGACCACTGTCCGGGTGGTACTGATGAAGGAGGCCGATGTGCGCGAGACTTATGCGCTGCCGATCGTGCGGGTTGTTCATTTAAATGCCATATGAGTCCTGATGGGCCGTTGTGCTCATGTCCTTTCGGAGAAATGGTAAGTTTTCCTATTCTATCGGCTTTCTTTGGCGTGCTCACTATGGCCATCTCAGGTTTCGAGTGTTGCTGTTTTATTAGATTTTAACAGTCTATTTTTATGCGTTTTTTTTGCGCCTGTGCAATGCAAAAACGTATATTGTCGATCGGTTGTCTGCACCTGTGTGTCTGTGTGCGCGTTTGTACCGAATTTTCATCTCGAGGTTTGCAAAAACTACAAGGCTAAAACTATGGGAACTCAAGCTACACATATGTATGGGCTCGTACCTTAAAATGAAAGCTCAGTGCCCGTGATTCCTACGTGCGGGCACGTGAAACTTTCTGAGGGTCCCGGTATTCGTCTTCACGTCTTTCGATATGTCGATGATATCCTAACTGTTAACTGCGGTAACTTTGCTGAAATCGCCAGTGATATCTGTAGGCCCAGCTTGCAACTCAACACCACTTACAGAGTGCATGCTTTTTAGACCTCGAAATTTCATGCCAAGAGGGCAGATGCATTTTCAACGTATACAGTAAGACCTTAGACTACCCATTCACCGTAAATCGCGGAGCGTGTCCAGATAGCGGTATGGGCCAGACGGTATAAAAAGATGTCATTATATCACAACGTCTTCGTTATGCATGTGTGCGCACTCTTCCAGAGGGATTTCATGACTGGGCTAGACAGCTTATAACTATCTATGGACACAAAAAGTTTGATATTATCAAATTGGAACGCTCCGTTCTCAGATTTTGCTTCAGGAACCGATCAGTACTGAGCAAATTCATCTTCCCTGAT